TGGAGCCAATGGGGTAACTTCAGGCCAGTCACAGACTCTCAGCCCAGCCCACCTCACTAGGGGGGGATATTATGTAAGCTGCCTTGAGTTCCTTGAAGGAAAAAAGGTGGGATATAAACAAATGAATACATAAATGCAGGGAAGGGCCTTGTCCTATAATCCCTGCTGAAAGATGTTTCAACTGCCAGACCAGTCAATTTTTGTATATCAAATATGAGAGGGCACCATCATGTTCTTTACCTCAGGCAGTAAAATGTCTTGGGCAAGTCCTGCCAACTTACATTTACTGTGGTATGTCCATTCTAGAAAAAGGTGCTCTATGGTCCCCTGAGGATTCTTTGGAAATTCTTGAAGACAACAGAACGATGGTGGTGCTGGTTTTTTTTTTTTTAGCATTTTGCCTCCACACCGTAATTTAGAAAGGCTCTTCATTGATATTAACATCATCAATGCAAAACAGTTGCTTTTAGTCCCCCGGAACCCAACTTTAATTTGCAAGGAAGTTATTTGCTCAACAAAGCTTCTGATGGAAACATGATTAAAGCTGGAATTTGTGCTTTCCACGGACTGCCTGCAAGGCCGCTCTAGCTCCATTACTCAGCCTGGCTGGGCCTCTTAATTATTCAATCTTACCCACTAGAGTTTGAAAGCTTTGCTATACCCGGCTAATTGTGGGTTACCAAGGCAGCCAAGTATGCTATGCAGAGAACCAAAAAAAGAAGTACAGATGATAAAGAATGATTCACGCTAAGCCTATTTTATATGGAAAGCTTCTAAACAGGCAATTCACTGAAGAAGCAGCCTCTCAAACAGAACACTTCTAGCCTAGTTTAAGGCCTATTTTGTAGCCTGCCTAAATATATCACTGTTGCGTTTCCTAACAGGCTGCGATTCTTCTTGTGCAATGGACAGATCCTGATTCATGTGTTGGATGTGCACGTACCCTTTCCCAAATACTAAGCCATGGATGAAACTTGCTGCTTGCACTGTTCCTCTGTATAGAGAGCACGGAAAACGAACAGGCCCCATCTAGTGTGGTGTAGTGGTTAAGAGCATGGGAATGGGACTCAGAGGATCTGGGTTCTAGTCCCTGCTCAGCCATGGAGCCAACTGGGTGACTTTGGGCCAGTCACAGACTCTCAGCCCAACCTACCTCACAGGGTTGTTGTGGGGATAAGATGGAGGAGAATGATGTAAGCTGCCTTGAGCCCTTTGAGAAAAAAGGTAGGCTATAAATTGAAAAATAAATAAATAAATAATTCTAGACTGTGGACTCATACTGGTCTGCCCTCTTCTCTTTAGGGAACCCTGAAAGCTGTAGCTCATACATCAAGGGTTTTAAGACAATGGTTTTAAGACAGAGCACCGTCACTGCACAACAGTGCCTGTGAGTCCTTAGTGAAAATGTTAAGAGCAAGCCAGGACCATCTCCAGATGATTTAATACCCTAGTGGCCATGTCAACCACACCTTGCCTATCCCCTAGTGGTGCTCCTCCCATCTCTGTCCCCTTCCACTACCCCCCTTTGTACCATCTTCCTTTCCTTCTTCAGTCGCTGCATGGCTCCTCCTCATCTTTAGACTTCCTCTCCCTCTGTCATGCTTTGAGGGTCCTTCCAAAAGTGAGGCGTTGTGGGTGAGTTGGCTCCAGAGGCTGCCTATGCGGTGGCAGAACACCATGTGCACAGGAGTCACAACTGCAACAAAAGCAAAAGCTGTGGCCGGGAGCAGAGAGGAGACAGCCTCTTTCCAACATACACAGCTTTTGATAGGTTTCTTCCAGGAAAAGTATGCCTCTCTGGCCACATAAGAATCTGACAAGCAACTTCTGAAACATTTGCCAAAACCCGAATGATGGCTACGCTGCTGTTCATTTTTGGTTTTGTACTAACGTGCCTCGTACACATCACAATTTGTTGAGGCTGCTAGGTAGTATCTAACATTGCTTTTTGATCTCCTTAAAGCATGGTGTTTGGGCCTGGACTACCTGATCCTCAGAAAGAGACTGCATGGAGTCCTCTGGATGGCACAGATGGGTGGGCAGATGAGGTGGGAGAGGAGTTGGAGCACTGCTGCAACCTTCAGGGGCTTTTCTGGTGCCCCAAGAACTTAGTGTCCAGGACAGCCACCTTACTGCCCCACAAACAATGCAAAGAAACTTCTACACACTCAGGCCTGCTGACCAAATACAGCCCACTTGGCATACCAATCCAACCATCCTAGGATTTCCAGGATGGCCACTGTCCCCCTATTTTCTGGCTCCACTCTGTTGGGTAGTTTCCCGGCTTTTGTGAAGTTTTCTTCCATTCTAATAGGCTGAGGTGCCTCTTCTAAGGTTTAGTTATTGGCATTAATAACCAAGAGCTTTTAAACTACACTGTAGTGGTATTTTGCCATCATCCACCGCTGGAATGCAGCTGCCTAATGCTCCTCTAACATGAAATTCAGCCATTGGGTTGAAATATTTTCAACTTCCTTGCATATAAAACTCATGTACATTTGTAGGGAAGTCATGTCCAAAAGCAGATACAGAAATCCACAAGTTTTTGCACAACAGATTCTAGTTTGGATGGTGCCACCCCAAATCCTTGATTTAACTAGGAATAGCAGGGATCAGTAAAAGAAATTCTTAACCCGTGAGGCTTGCAATGGAAGTCCTCCAACTTCCCATGGGAGTTAGACATGCCGATTCCCAAATGAGTGTTTTTGGGGTAGGAAATAGGAACAGACCAAGGGTCCATCTAGTTCAACATCCCATTCACACAGTAGCTAACCAGCTACCCATGGAAAACCTACAAGCAGGATATGACTGCAGGAACACCTCCCATCCCTGCACTCCAAGAATCTGTGTGCACAGATATACTGTCTCTGATACTGGAGGTAGCCTAGAGCCATCAGGACTAGTTGCCATTGACAGTCCTCCAGGAATTTACCCAATCCACCCTTTCAGCCGTCAAACTGGTGGCCAGTACTGCATCTCATGGAAGTGGATGCCACAGTATAAATAGGCTCTGTGCAAAGGAGTCCTTCCTTTTGTCTGTCCTAACTTTCCCACCATCCAGCTTCCCAGGATGGCCCCAGGTTCTACTACTGAGATGGAGAAAGCGGCCATGGGGCCGAAGGCAGTCCTTCAAATATCCTGATCTTTTAAATACCATTTAGGGCTTTAAAAGTCATCACCAAACAGCTGGATCATGTCCAGAAAGAAATCAGAAGTCAGTGCAGCTATTGCAGCAGGGGAGTTACAGGCTGTCTCTAAACAACCGGGCTGCTACATTCTGGCTCAACAGTACTTCACTAACCCTTCAAAGTAGCCCCAAGTTGAACACATTGCAATAATCCGTATGTGATGGAAATAGGGCGAATGTCACCCTGGCCAGCCCCGTGCTCTCCAAGAAGGGCAAAGTTGACCAATAGCCTCAGCTGGGCAAAGGGACTCCTGGACACTGAACAAAATGGCATCAGTTGTTCAACATTCTTCCCAGAGGGGTTGGCCTCACAGCTATTCTACTTTTCGTGCCAAGCAAACTTTTAATTTGCTTGAGCCTTTAGAAGCAATTGCAATGTCATGCTTCTTTTATAATTCTGTGGCTCTTTTGCTTCTTTTTACTTATTTTGTTTTTAATTCTTTTTTAAAACCACCCTAGGAATATCATTGGAGGTGGAATAAAAGTAAGTGTAACATGCAAGATTTATTTTCCTCCTTTTTCCGAAGAAGTGCGTGGTGACATACATGTGCAGTGTAGCAGGGATACTTGGAACAGAGCTCTTTCGGGCCGCAGGGAGCTGCCAATCTCTGAGAGGATGGGGAGTTTTGAGATGTGAAGAATAGTTTGAAGAGGAGAGGTTTTGGAGATGAGAGAGATTGGGAAGGAGTTGGAAACAACTATTCTGTAGTAATTAACATCACAATCATATGCATCTCTACTCACAAGTAAGTCCCATTCAGTTCAATGGAACTTACTCCCAGATTAATATTGCAACATAAGTTGAAAATACATATCTAGGAGGAGAAGACTGATGTTGCAACCATAATTGAACAAATGGCAGAATATTTTTGTGGCTGTCCAAAGATTAAAGACTTTTCAGAAATGATTTTGGAAAACATTGGGAAAATTGTGGGATATTGCTTAACATTTAATCCACTGGTTATTTTACTTGGGAACATAAAGGATGAGGTTCTTCAGGAGGCATGGAAATGATTATATGTCTGCTACCAGCTACCAGAACAGCGATCAGTTTATAAATGGAAACAAAAAGGCACACACGTCCATCCCCATCTTTGAGCTAAAAGATCGTGAAGGTACACTATAGGGGGCAAGTGTTAAAGCTTACAGGTGATATCAAAATCAGGGAGGACAGGCAGGGAAACAAGTTTTTCTGAAAAGTGCTGCACTGCTTTCAGGTTTTCAAATAACGAGGCTGGTGCAGGATAATGGATAACCTTATAATTTGTTGGGAATCTTCTAAAACACAATGAAAGAGACCATAGGTTGAAAGAGTCATCTTTTTATTTACTTAAATGCAATCCTATGGTCCTTGGAAGAGCATTCCAAGAGCCAAAGGATTTGTCAGATCTCCACCCTCTGGAACAGCCCTTCTTTCCTGGGATGCTCTCTCTGAGACTTCGCATTGCTTCCTTAGAGACTTACCTTATACTGAACACCTACTGGAGTTGTTTCTCTTGTTCCACTTCTTTCCATTCATGGTTGGCTGCAGGCACCACATAATATTTTGAGGCCCTAGCATCAAAAATTCCTTCTGTCCATCCCCTGACCCTTTGAACCCAGCGTCGCACCATTCTTCCAAACCAAGGGGTTGCCGGGGAACCTGAGGTTCCACATAGTCCCCCACTCTATTTTATCCTCACAATGATTCAGTAGCTTAGGCAGGGAGTTAGTTACTGGCCCGTATTTATCCAGTGAGCTTCATGGTTGAGTGGGGATTTGAACCAGGCCCCCACAGACCCTCCTTGAATAGAAATTATGAGTAGGGCTGTACCTGCTGAGGAACTCCTGGAATGAAGAAAAAAGAAGGTAATCTATTGCACTGAAATCGAGGTCTGTCTCATTTAGGTGGAACTGTATGAAGACCAGTTCCCGCTTCTTCACATCTCGAGGTCCTTCCACAATCACAGCATGTTTCTATGAGCACATGGAACAGGGAGGGAAAGTAGGAAGGGAAGTCACACATGCAAGAGGGCATCTTTTCATCCTGCGTCAACATGTGCTTCACTAGACTGATTAGGGCAAATCATTTTCCAGGGATTTTAAATCTCTGGTGCAGCGCTGGAAAACAGCAACATGGATGAGGCCTTTTCAGTGATGTTTCACCCAATTTTAAAATGTTATACCAGTAAAAGTTATATCTATCTTGTTACCTTTTTGTTACCAGAAAAAGACTTTCTTCTGTTCCCAGAAATCTGAAGACCTAAGATGTATTAAAGAGGCTTCATAAGCAACAATCAGTTGTTTATGGCTGTCCTCGTGTTTTAATTGTTTTATGGGGTGCTGGTAGTTTAGTTTTTGGCTATTTTAAATTTGTTATGCTTTCATTCTGTTGCAAAATTTGTTTGTTTAAAGGCATCTAAGAAAATAGTAGTATAATAGCAGTAATACAGTTCTCCACTCCTTAAGTTTTCTTAAGGGTTATCCAACTTGGTAACCTTCAAGCTGGGAGATGCTTGGAATGGATCAGACAATTGCCCGAATGAACAGTGGAACTCCTGAGAATAATTATTATATAAAGTGATACAGTGCTTCACCAGTTTTAGTATGGAAACTCTTTCAGTAGCTCTCTATGATAGTCTAGGACCATTAGGGAAGGTTCACAAAAACATGCTCAGCACACAAGTAGGGGCTTCCACTGGTTAGTACCCACCCCTGATCCCGCCAACCATGTGTGTGTGTACTGACCATGCCCTGCACATTTGTGGCAATGACAAGAGCAGGCCCTCTTCATGTACCTGAGAGAGAATTCTGAGTAGCCCAGGACTACCCAATAAGCTGGGGGCATGGCTAGCAAAACCAACCCCACAAACTCTTCATGGGTGCTTCAAAAGCATATGTGAATACCTCTTTATTACCCACTGTGTGTTTTCACAGAGGCATATATGTTGTCACAGCTTGGAACATATGTTTCAGCTGCTGCTGATGCCAAAACACATTTGCTGCAGCTGCAAACCACAACTGAGTCAGCATTCGCATCGCTTCTGAAGGGGGCAGGTCTGAATGTAAGTTGCACGTCAGCTTTTAAAAAGGCATACTGTTAAGCAGATGCATCACACCAGGTATGTTCAGCACAGAGATAGCACTTTAAGTATTTGAAGGGTTGTCACAAGGCAGATGGCTATAAAGTAATTCAGGTTAGAATTGGTGCAGCATAGGGCCACAAGGATGGTGGCCAGATTGCAGGGAAAGCCACATGAGATGAGACTGAGGGAACTGGGTCTTTGCAGCCTGGAGAAGAGGAGACTCCGAGAGGATGTGTTGGTGACATATAGGTACGTGAGGGGGTGTCACACGGAGGTGGGTAGAGACCTGGTTTCCCCTGCAGAGGAGGGCAGGATACATTGAAATGGAACAAAGCTCAGGGAACCAATGTTCAATTCAGATGCCAGGAAGTACTTTGTGACAGTTAGGACCCCTAGGGTATGGAATGGGCTTCCACAGGAGGTGGTTGAAGCCCCACCAGTGAGGCATGTCATGAGTGGAGCCGGCTGAAGTTGGGGGACAGACTAGATGACCTGGGAGGCACCTTCTGACTTGCTCTGTTTCTATGTTTCTAAACTGTTCTCTGATCTCAGAAATACCAGGCTTAAGTTATAGGAAAGTAGATTTTGGTTGAATACCAGAATTTCCCTAAAGGTTAAGGTTGTCGGGCAATAGAATCAGCTGTCTAGGGAGGTGGCTGACTCTCCATCCTCGGAGAAATTCAAGCAGACACTGGACAGCCACCTGTCAGAGGTGCTTTCAACTCTGAAACCTGCATTAAGCAGGGGACTGGACTCGATAGCCTAAATGGCCCCTTCCACCTTTATCATTCATATACATCATAAGGATGGATTTTGCTCAACATATTCTTAACCTTATTCATCAGCGTAGCAAATGAGTTTGCCAAGTAAAGGAAACATCCAAGACAATTTCAAAAATCTAGAAGTAAGTTTTGGAAAACAAACAAAATGAATAAGAGAAATTTCACAGCAATTCCTCGTTAGCACTGAGGCACCAAAGCCCTGCAGGTAATGGACTTCAACCCTTCCCCTTGGTTTGATTATTACCTTGGTTTGATTAGTAAAAGGATCCGTGTAGTTGACTCTCTGCGTAATACATTCAATTTTTCCTGGCTGGCCTGGGTTTACCAGCGGTGGGATGTAATCATAGTAGTGATGTTTGCAGGTCAGCAGTTCAGCCTTGCCTGGGTAGAGGGCAATCCCTGTTGTGGACAAACAGGATTAGCGCTAAAAAACTGGTTCAGCCACAGAGGTCGCTGCAAGCCCAGCACAAGCATACCCTTGCCAACTAAAGCATGCTTAAAACATCAGGGCCAGAATGAAGTATGAAAGTCAGACTGGGCAGAACTTTAGCTGAACCTGGGGACCATGGCCTGAAATCCACTCGCTGTTAAGTCTAGGAACAGACAGACAGTGCAATGGTACAGCACATGTTCTGACCCAAACCCAGGGCATCTATGGATCCACAGTGCCAGCAGTAGGAACTACCTGTTTATTTGTTCTACCTATTTCCTGTATCGTTGGTGTTTTAATTGTAATTTTAATTGACTGCAGGGGGGGTGCACTATGTTTTAATGAGGGTTTTGATTTTATTCAGCACGTTTATTATTGTCAGTGGTCCTGGGCCATTTTGGGTAGAAAGGTAGGATTTAACTTTGATATAACAAATAAGATCTCTGCCTGACATCCTGAGGAGTGCCAACAGTCAAAAGACATTAATTGACCTGATAAAACTAAGGGTTTGTCATTTTAAGTCTTCAGTGGGGAGGCAACCTTCAACTGGAACAAGCAACGTGACACCCATTAATTTTTTTTTTTTCTGGAGAGGTTCAGAAACATCCATAACAACAGCAACAAAATACCGAGCTGCCACCGAACCCTCCTTAGGTAGGAGCATAACTCCCTTGTGTCTCTTAGCACACCTAAAACTACTGACCATAAGCCAGGAAAGCTCTGGAGTGAAGCTAGGAGCTACAATCCAAAGCTTGAATGGCATGATGGTAGTGGAAGTCTTCCAAATAAACTACAGGATGCCTGTCGATATGGTGAGTGAGAAGACCGTGGAGGGAGAACTTGTAGGTGAGAACCACGCTGCAAAGCACAGGTCCACTCTATGCATTCTGGGTTCCATTACTTAGTCATACTAGAGTGGGATGGGATGATGGGATGGGATGTCTGGCACTGACTTTTACACACACGCATGCATGCACATGCATGGAACCAAAATATTCAGAATTACATGGTCTGCATCAACTTCTGCCAAGCGGTTCCTCATTTTGGTACTAGCCAGGTAAAAGTAGAACAGCCCTCCCCACACCTTATCCCACACAGGCAGTCCAGAAAGATACTATGGTCAATGATGTTGAAGGCTGCTAAAAGATTTAAGAAAACCAACAAGGTCACAGTCGCCCAATCTCTCTCCAGAAACGGTAATCCACCAAAGCAGTCCAGGCCTTTCCCTCCCTGAATCCTGTCTGCAGTCCAGATTGAGAGTGATCGAGATAACCGAGTTCATCTACCAACCTCTTGGAACTGCTGAGCCACCACTTGCTTGGGTCTCTAATTCCAAGGCCAGGAGATCAAGCAAAGGACCCTCCAGAAATAACATCAACATTTGACAAAATGCCTCTTTCAGCCACAAGCTATTCTTACATTATGATCACTATTGGAGGCCTTCTTGCGAGGGCCACTTCTGAGGGGGCCTTGGAGGGTGATCCGAAGCAGGAAGAACTTCTTTGTGGAAGCCCTTTGTCTATAGAATGCTTTCCCTGCCTGGCACTACATTAGGACAGCCCTCTGTACTAAGGCATTTAAAGATTTCTATGGCTATCTAATGACCAACGGGGTACTTAGGTCTGCTGCTTTTAACAGGCCTATAGTATGCCAAATACTGTGGTAGCTGTTAAATTGTTTTAATGTTTAAAAAACAGTTTTAAAGGTCACTTTTCCTGGAAAGGTCTAGGGTTGTTTTTATTGTTTCATGGTCCAGTCTAGGCGCTGCTGTGAGCCACAGAGAGAGCTTCTGCTGTTGGGAGGTAAAGGGCTTCCGTAAATAAGCAGTCTTGAAATGGTCTTACTAATGATCACTAGCCGGACTGTGGCCTCCCCCAATAACCCCTTGCCGGTGAGGGGGCCGGGGCGAAGCAAGGACGCAGTGGGACAAAGAGATCCAAGGACTTGGCCTGCACCGTCACGTGCCAATAACTGAGACTCATCCAACACAAGAGGCAGCTCTGGATGCTACCGCCAGGAACACTGTAACCATTATGTTATGCAAGTCTGAAAAAACAGAGGTCATTTTATCTACAGTGCATCTGGAAAAAAGTCACAGCACATTTGTGAGGCCTTCTGAGGAGAAGGAAGCAACTCTTTGCCGCTGTGGCCGTCCTGTGATAGACCTGTGAGGTACTGGAAGGGTGCAATCCAGTGGCAATGGCTGCACCCTCCGAACTTGGCGGTCAGGAGGAGCAGAGGAGGCAAATCCTCCCTTGCTGTTCTGCATTATTCCCACCCTGGATGTTTTGCCCAAGTAGCTGATGCATCTCAGAGGCTGGAGAAACTTCTGGATACCTCACATCCTGTCTTCTCTAGTCTCTCCCCCCCCCCCCCCCCCCGCTGAACTGCCGCACTTTTCGCCTCTCCAGGGCTGCTTTTCTGACCCTGGAGAACAGCTAGTGGTGCAGTTCTTTCTACACCAGCTGCAAAGGTGGGGTGGGAAGGGGGTGGCACTCATATCCCCAGCTTTGGGGTTGAAGCTCTCCCTGGCCTCACATCTAGGAAACAGATGCTGTCCAGCAGGCACAGGACTGCTCCTTCCATGCTTGCCAGTTTTCCTCCTCGTGCGTGACAGCTGCCCAGGTGATGGTTTTTCTCCCGTGGCTTCCTGAAGTATCACATGCCGCTGAATGCCAGCTGCTGTGGAACATGAGCAGGAGGGTGCTATTGTACTCATCTCCTTCTTGCAGGCTTCCCTGAGGCAACTGCTGGCCGCTCTAAGAACAGAACGGGAGACTAGACAGGCCGATAGTCTGACCCAGCATGGCTCCGCTTGACATTAGAGGTGGCAAGATGCAGCTGGGGCACAATGCCTTTTGATGGCTGTCCTGCATAATCTGCCAGAGGCCCCGTCCTCACTGGGCTTCCCTGCCCTGTCCCTGCAAGAAGCATCAGATGACATGGAACAAGGGGGAGCAAAACACACAGGTGTAATGACATTAGGCCATGGGGAAGTTGTACTGGTGTCTCCAGGAAAGGGTGGAAAAGTTTTCTGTTTGAAACTGTGCACAGTGACTGCCGGTCAGCCCACAGGCAAGCAACCTGGCGCCCTCCAGATGTTCCTGATTAGATCTCCTATAAACGCCGGCCAGCATGACCAATGGCCAGGGATGATGGCAGCTGCAGACCAAAACTGCTGAAGACACTAACCATAAGGAACTGAGCATCCCTTGACACAATGCCTGCAGTGGAAGGTGAAGACAAGGCAAGGAGTGTGGCGTGGGGCAGCTGTTTCTGGCGGCAGTCCTGAATCTCTTGGAACTTAGTTTTACCTTTCAAGTCTGGCAAAAGATGACACACAGGGTGTGGCTACATGAAGCAGGTAAAATGCTGCTCACTTTTCATGGCTTCCATCCAAGACCTCTGAGTAACCAGAATCACCAAAAGAATTTTCAGCATTGCCAAAAGCTACAACTCCCAGGACCCCCGGAGAGAGGCTTCATTTGGGCCATACGTATCACAACACTTAGGTGCCTGCAAAGGCAGCCGACAGCGCAGCACCACACTGGTTTTGACAGTGGTCAAGCTAAGCAATAGTCAAATGCACATGCATACAAATGCGACCCCCAACTTCGAGCACTCCCGGATTTCCTACAAAAACACACCACTCCACATTGGGTCTTACCCGGCGCATCATATAAAGGCACCTCCTTGTAAGAGACAGACATCACTGGGTGCTTGAGTTTCTCCCTGAAATCAGCGATGGTTTGGTAGACCAGGAAAACGGCAATGGCCATCAGCAGCAGGTATATGAAGAGGAGAATGACTGAGAAGACGTTTTTCAGGCAGGACTTGCTGAACCGCACTGAAGGGCTGCTGCTGTCTAGGATTGAACAAAATGTTCACTTGAGACCTCTGGTCAGCACTCCACGCTCCCCCGCTCCCACGCTGAAGTAGAATGAACCAAAGGCTTGAGCAGGGGGGCCTAATCCCCCGATGCGCACAGGGGAGTTGCAGAGGGAGCTGCTGCAGGCAAGTACAGTCCTTCTGTTTTCCACAGGTCCACCTCCATGCCAGGCCATGGGTCCTCTTGGTGCATGTTCTAGGTCAGTCAAAGGATTCATGGCAAGTGAAGCTCTTTTGCTGTGTCCACAGAAGAACTGTACACGGCATTATTATTTCAAAGCTCAGGGAGATGTAGCCATCTCGTTCATCTGTCGACAAATGAAAATGATACTGACCAGGGCAGCATCCCCAAACCTGGCGCCCCCCAGATACGTCGGGCAACATCGTCCAGCATGGTGGGAGTTGTTGTTCAACACGTGTGGAGGGTACCAGCTTAGGGAAGGCTGCGATTGGGCACCAGGACATACGTGCCCCCAAACACATGCATTCAGCTGCCCAGTCCTTACCTGGAAGAATGGATGAGCCGGCATCATCTTGTTCCTCTTCATCCGCTTGTTCCTCTGATAAATCCGTGTGCGCAGCAAGGTGTTCTGCATCTTCGTTCAGCTGCCAATGCAAAATCAGTTCAATGCAGGACAGACAGCACTGGACCTCCACATGGACTCAGAAGCAGGCACTTTCCCTCATGCTATTCCACCTCTTACAACAGTGATTGGGAACATGTGGACATCCACATGTTTTGGACCACAACTTCCATCATTCCTCACTACCGGCTATGCTTCCTGGGTATTATGGGTCCAGTCCAGCAACATCTGGAATGTCAGAGGTTCCTCATCCCTGCCTTACCAATACTCATGGTGTGACCATCTCATGGGATGACGATAACATGCGGAAGGTACAGGTTACAGCCCTCTTGCTGAAACTAAGTGGGTATATCTTTTGGATGGGAGACCACCTGGGAACCCTACCCCATGTTGAGTCCCATGGTGAAAGAAAAGCCAGATGTATAATAAACATGCTGAATAAATGAAACAACAAACAGAACAACTTCAGACCAGCATCTGATGGCATCAGCAGTGCCCTCCAGTGATACAAAGACTCTCCAAACCATGGGGGTGAACCTTTTTAAGGAGCTGCACCCATATAATGGAATCTGTGGGAAGAAGACTCCCTCCCCAGAGGTGGTCGCAAATGGTTTCCACATAACTGCACTGACATGTAAACTAGTCTTTGGCCTCCCCTCTAAGGTAGGAATAAGTGATGTACTTCTTGGCCAAATGAGACAAGACTAAGAACCAACGGAGAGTCCCTCTACCCAATGCAAATAACAGCCTTGGAAGAACAAGTTTCATCAGGACCATGGTAGAGGTAAAGGAGTTGAACTATTCTTCCCCAACCTGGTATCCTTCAGATGTTTTGGACCACACCTTCTAGCATCCCTGACCATTAGCCATGGTGACTGGGATTATGAGAAGTGAGGCTGAAAATACCTACAAAGAATCAGGCTGGGACAGCTGGATTTAAACTATCCCTACCCATCTCCTGGAGTCCTGGTGCTACTAGGGCTTTTTCATGCCTTAGTATGAAGGTATGAAACTACTGATTTTAAAACATACACATAAATATTCTCATGTATACCATTAATGTCACATCTACTTTGGTCCTTAGAGAGCAATATAAAGAGAAATTGCTGCCTGATTTTTAGGTATAACACGTCTTTAGTCGTTTGAATGTATATGAGATCAGTTTTAGGTTCTCCTTGGGAATGAGCTTATGGGGACTGTTCGCATGAGCTTCTCTAGTACAGTGGTACCTTGGCTCACAAACTTAATCCATTCCAGGACTCTGGTCGTGACCCAAATTTGTTGTGAGCCAAGTCAAATTTCCTCATAAGGTTCAATGTAAATAAGGTTAATCCATTCTGTAACTATTTTTTTTACTCACAAAAATTTGAAGCAAAGTGACAAAGAACAGCAAAGACTGCGGCCATCTCCCCCCCTCCAGCGATTGTGCGGGGGTGTAGGGGGAGATGGGTGCAGCCATGGGCGGTGGGGGGAGGTGAGTGCGGGCGCGCTCGGGCAGGGAACACGGGCACAATCGCGGCCATCTCCCCCCCCCCCCCCCCAGCACCACCTAGATCGCGTCCGTGCAGGGAAGGGGCGCACACTTGCGATCGTCATCCAATGCAGAGTTCGCAACCTGCGGTGAAATTTTTATGAAATTTCTGTTCGCAACCCGATTTACTCATGAACTGAGGCATTCGTGAGCTGAGGTACCACTGTACTTCTTACATAAATAAATGAATTCACTGTTGCAAGAGGGCCAGCAGCTTGGATGGCTTTACCAAAGGATTAGACAAAGTCATGGAGGAAACGGTCATCACCGGCTGCTAGTCTTCATAGCTGCCTGCTGGTTCCAGCATCACAGGCCTTGTGACTCGGCCTATTAGTGCTGGGGAACATGAGTAGGAAGGCACTGTTTACTCATGTCCTGCTTGCCAGCTTCCCATTGAAGCATCAGGTTGGCCACTGTGAAAAACAGGATACTGGACCAGCAAGGCTTCTGGTCTGACCCAGAATGGCTCTTGCATCCTTCTGTGTACCTGAACTTCAAAATGTATCACTGCACTATTGCATAAATCCAATGAATACAAATTGCAGAATTGCCAGTTGAGCATTTTCTGTGCAAATAGGACAACATCTTGCTGAGTTTAATGCAGACTAATTCTGAACAATCACTTTTCATCCTGGTCACTGCAAAATGAACAGCAACAGCAACAAAAAATCCTTGGGACAATGCTTCATTATACTCCAACTCAATGGACTGGAATAACAAAGGACTGAACACCTTTGAAAGCAGCAACGCAGACCAGATGCTTCTCGCTCCTTCCTGCAAAGCCCGGGGCCCAAACTGCCTTGGACATTTTTGTCAATGTCACAAGCTTGTCACTTCTGATAGATGTTATCCTTGCATGCAGCACAGCATCTAATCCTAGAACTGAAGGAAAGTAACTAAAGGCATGTCACAAAAGATCCAGCTTTCCTTTGTTCCTTCCCTCTGCGTTCTTTTCTTTCCTGGCATTCTGAAGCTGCCCTACAGATCACCAGAGTGGCATGCCTTTTCTTCCATTCCCCAAACAAAATTTAGAGCACAATTATTTAGTAATACTTATATATCACTTAATATACCAACTAAAATACACTATTATAAATAAGTTCAACTAGAATAGCAATAAAGAGCAATACAAAGAACAGAAAGATGGAGCAACATATGATTAACTGCAATTAATCCCGGAAAAACTAAGTGAGCAACGGCATTTTTAGGACATACATACCTCCCAACCTCCCAAACTGCATTGCATGGGTGTTCCAGAGGGCAAGAAGGAATTTACCAATTTATTTATTTAGGGTTGTCAGTGTTGCAGTCCCATTCTTAAACACTATACCACACTGACTTATGATATATGTTGTTGCTTTTAAATCAATTTAAACCATGCTTCCACCATGGTAAAATCCTGCTCCCTTCTTTGAAGTGACAATACAAATGACAGCCTTATCAGTTCCTAGAGCAGGTTCCCAACCTGAAGCGGGCAAAATTGGAAGGCTGGGAGTGTCACGAGCTCCCTCCCTGCCATGACTGGAAACTGCCAGTCACAAAACATCCCTTTCCCAGAAAGTAAACTGGTGAGACTGAAAGAAAAGCTCCTTGCCCAGGGTGCAGGTGAGGTCTGAATTCCAAATCACACAGCTACTCAAATAAAAACACTGTTGGAGACCAGCACTTTGCTTTGCAATTTGGCAGCCCCACACTTAAAAAGAAACACGTTCTAAAGCGCTTAAGAAATAAAATTAAAAACACAAGGGTCAAGGAACCTGGCAGGCACCAAATGTTGTGACATTTCAGGAGGCACAGACTGAGACCATTTGGATACTTCTGGGAGGCAGGCAATCCGGCCCTCTTACACCAGTTGCGTGCTGGCTGAATGGGGTCCTTGTTTGTTTCCAGGCTCAGTCTAACACACTTGGATGCTCTGACAGGTTTAGGACAGAGTTATCTGAAAGATTTCCCAGGCCCTAAGATGACAACAGGGACCCTGCTCTCTGACCTGCTGCCCAGCACCATCAGACTACTGGATCCTGGAGGCAGGGCCTTTTTATCTGGAAGTTTGTGGGAGACAGATACATATTAGGCGTGACCCCATAGATTAGGAATCCTTTCCCAGGGAAGGATGCATGGCTGTTTTCACTGGTGAACCTTAAGAGGACAGCTTTTTGGAATCTTTGGGGCATGATGAAGGTTGATGCGCTGTCGTCGCTTTCAGTTTATGCAGAGAAACCACAGCAGTCTCATCTAGATGGAACCAGGCCCTGTGCCACTGAAGCAAGGTCTGCTTTCTCCAGCTGGCTAACTCAGAGTCACCAGATCTGCCAGTACATCCATGGGTAGTGCCGATTCAAGGAGGCCTCGCAGGCTGTTGATCGAGCCATCCAGGAGGAGTTCAGCCCTGTGCAAAGCTGCTTGATAACCCCCAACCAGGTCAGCAGTCTTCATGACCGATACTGCCTAAAAGTGGTTTGATGTCTGGTGCCCGGCTGAGAACTGCAAATTTCCCGGTATCCCTGGGGCATTTTGTTTAATGGTGATGCAAGAAACCGGGTTTGCATAAGCAGTCACTGATGAAGTACCCAAAGGCTGATTTTTTCAATGGTATTCAGAAAAAGAAAAATCACTGATAAGTAGCGCTTAGACACACATTGACCTTGAGGAGAAGACTATCTGGGCCCCAGTGGTTTTGATTTTCCTCCCTACAGCTTTGAAGTCTGATGTTATTTTGTCAAAGCTTCTCCTGGCAGTGTTGTTAGTTCCCATGTAGATGAGAAAATAGGGGTATTGTGGGTTGTTTGAGATGTATGAATCTATTGGTTATACATTAATCTTGTCTCCAGGGAGGCAGCATATTTGTCAATTTTCTGGGTTGTCGCGGCATGCATCTCTTTCCATCTCACACAACAGGGAATCTCTCACAACTATCACTCATCTCCTTTTGTTGTTGCAAACTTTGGCACCCAGTGTGTTGGGTTGTTCTTTCATAGTGGGTTTCTCACTCGTCTCTTCCGCAAGCAAAGCCATCTGAGAGTTCCACTGCTTCCGTCGATGCAGAGTGTCCTCTAGCTCTACCACATCTGCCACCCTGTTCCAGGGAGCTTCCTTCTTTTCTCCTTCTCTCAGGGTTCTCTTCTTCTGCCCCAGCTTGTTCATGAACTTCTTGCTTCTGTACTACACTTAGGTGTTGCAGGTCCACTGCTCTGTCTAAAAGCTTTTCATCTTCTTTTATTACCTTCAAGCCAGGCACTCCCTGCTCCAGGGCTCTCGCCTTTTCTTCTGACAGGGCCGCTAGCTTGCACTTGTTGCATGCGTAGGCCACGAGGCCCTCAGGTAAGAAAACACTGCACAGTTGTTGCAGGTCACCGCCACTCTGGTCCATTGTTTGTGCTACCTTTGTGATTTTCTCTTGGGAGCCTGTTGTGACAACTGGTGCTTTCTCCTGTCTACACTAAAGGTTAACACACAGTCCTACTAGTAAATGGGGGGGGGGGTGTTACAAGAAGGAGAACAAGTGCATGTGTTGGGGTGGGGAGGGGAAGAGGAGAGAAAGAAGAAAAGGAAAAAATGTTAGGAACCCCCTTGACCCCCCCTCCCCAACTCCTCCACCAAACTCCTGTTTGCTCTCCTGGTTTGTTCACTCCATGGGAGCTTGGCTGCTTGAATCGCAGAGGTCCTAGACCAGCCGGGGCAGCTTGTTCTGATCTGCTCAGCTAGCAGCCAGGAACCAGAACGTCTCACCCCATCCGCACAACTGCTGCTAGCTGATCAGGCTACTCCCCTTCACTTAATCAGTTAGTCAGGAACTTCCTTTCAGTTTTATCTCCCAAAGCACAAGGCCTCTTAGAAAAGACTGTTTGCTCCTCTCCGCTTTGCCTCTGCCTGCTCTTCCACTGCAACTCTGCCACCAAACTCCCGTTTGCTTTCCCTGTTCGCTTGCTCTGGTCATAGAGAAACCAGCCATTGCTTCTTTGCCCCATTCCTCTTTTGAACAAACTGATTTTTTTCCCTATACTACAGGCGGGGTCTGTGTAATACTTCCCCATTCTATTTTAAGACTATTACAGGCGGCAGGCCAGGGTTTTCCCCACTAATACTGGCAAGCAGTAACATCCTTTTCCCCCACTCCATGCAGTTATTTTGCTTGACTGGCCCGCCTGACTAAAACTTGGGTGAATTCAAAAGCATGCCCACTTCTTTGTGATTGTCAGTAGTACAGGTTTTGCCATATGCTTCATCTGAGACGATGATTGTGGATCACTTTGAATGCTTGAAGCACAGTGCACCACCATGCCTGCTCTATTGTTAATGTTCGGCGGTGAGCATGGTTGTCCCTGTTGCTCAAACAGCATTATCCATTCATAACAAAGAAGTATCAGCAAGCAGAGGGAGAACCCCAGGTTTGGAGAAATATTTGAAAAATAGAAAAATTTCTTAAGGATGGGAAGAGTTGAAAAAAGCATCTCGATAAGGAATACATACAGAAGGCTGACTAGGGGTTGGGGAGGGTAGAAACTGATACGTATGACAATGGAATGGACTATTTTCTCTACACAACTCCACACTGTAACTTTGTGTTGCAGCATCCATTTGTGTTTACTAATAGTGAGTTCATTCTCTAAGTGGAAGGACTGTCTCTCTTGGGGAAACTCCAAGTGTTACAGTTACTAGCAAGACCCCCTAGCACTGAGGTCTCACTGACCCTGTTCTGCAGATACAGTCAATAACTGAATGCGTGAGAGGAAAGAGAGAACACTAGGGAAGCAAGTGGGAATTTGAATGGCGTATGCCAGAACAGAGCATGGCTGGCTTGCTAAAATCTGGATCAGGAGCACTACACACTGCAACACTTAGTTACAGCTCCCAGCTGTAAATATTGTTGCTATTCATCTGCACTACTCATTTACTGAACTGTGTCAGTGAATCCAGAAACCACAAAATAAGTCTCATATCACCTTAAAGATTAACATTCATGTACAGATGAACTTGTTGCACAAAAGTTTCTGGCATAATAAATGTATTGATCTTCAAGGTGCTACAAGACTCTGTTTTTGCTACAATGGAGTAACACAAGTTCCCTCTGGAATTGGCTAATGTGAGAACAGCACCAGGGCCAGGAAATTATATTTTTATCTGGGACCCCCACCGGACAATCTTGTTAATGTCCCAAAATAAAATGTAAGGCAAACAGTTCGACTCTCAGCTTCTAAAGGTATGAAGGAGAAGCAAAGACAAGCAAGTCAGAGTTTGGTTTGCAGCACCTGGTACACTGATACGCAAAATTGGTGCAGTACTGGAAGTCAACAGGGCTAGAACAGCTAAGAGCAGAGTGACAGACCAGGGTCAAGGACACGCAACTACAAATTCAAGTTCCTGAGAGTTTTCAAAAATGCTATCCAGGAAGGTTTGTCTGTATCAAAACTCCTCCCCCCTTCCTGTCTAATGGTCTGACCTCCACTAGGCAGATAAGCAACAAAACAACACAAGAGTTTGCTCAGGGGAACAGAACATTCAAGACATTGTTAATATTTTTAAAAGGCCAGCTGGCTATCTTTCTGTCTACTATTAGGCTGACTTCCTCATATTCTGAAAATCTGAATTAACAAAGAGATCTTGGGGTACATGGAAATACATGGCAATGAAAGATGAAGCTGATGTAGAGTGAAAGCAAAGCCAAAAGTGTTAGATTACAAAGAGAGAAGAGAATTAGGACAATGGGCCTATGCGGACATAATAAGGCGGAAGCCCTATTAAACTCAGTGTGGTGTGTTTCTGAGTAAACAGGTACAAGATGACAAAGAATTTTGTGGCCCCTTAAAAACAAATAGATTTATACATAAAAACATAAGCTTTTGTGGACTAGATGCCACTGCATCTGATGCACGAAGTGTTGTCCAAGTTGGCACATCTGCATAAATGACAACATTCATATAGGGTCAACATTGTTATTAGGCCAAAATGTCACAAATAATTGTGCAAGTTTGAGTTCTGCAGAATTCTTCATCAGGAGATAGTAAACAGATCTGGATGAGGGGAGAGGAGCAAAAATGGCTGGTATTGAAGGTCTGGGTGGCAGTTTTTAGAGGGCTTGCCGAGGTGTTTGCAGATGTTCAAGTTATACTTAACTACGTGCTGTGCAAGTTTCTGGTGCACCAAAGCCTGTCCGTGAGACCACTGGGATGATGACTCAAACAATGGTTGATTTTTGAAAATGGAAAGTCCAGCAGTGTCCATTCTTAGCAAAACAAACAGGTTCTTTGATAGAAAAGAGAACTACAGAGAAAGTACAGAGTTCTCATATTGAGAAAGCTGGAGATTTTAGTTAACTAGTCTGATGGAGAGCTTTGGAGAACTGAAAAGCTTGTACACTTGTTTCTCACATTTTGACTAAGCAAATAATTGTTCTAACATGGGTCTGGAATTTCTAATGGGCCAAACCTTTCACTTTATGCTTCGGGCACCTTAAAGACTGACATTTATTATTGTATGATAAGCTTTCATGGATTGTTGTCATGGAAGGTTATGCCATAATAAATGCATTCCTCTTTAAGGTTGTTTTTTGCTGCCACAGACAAACACCGCTACCCCTCCAGAAATTGCGACATATAAGATAAGCATAACTAAGGATGCAATCCTATGCATAAATAGACAGGCAAAGTTGTAGGCCTTTTTTCTGTACAAATGTGCATAGTACTGCATCTTAGGAGTCCATTATGCCTTGGAATAAATATTTGATTACTTGCTATTTTCAGCAGTGAATTCTTGTCCTCTCACCCTGGCAATTGCCTGTAAATGGGTGGGATAGGATTCTCGCACAGCCCCAAAATGCATCCCATCAAGGCCAATCAGACTAATTCCCAAATTCCTAACTTCCAAGTAATTTAATAGCTATATAGACTATTTACCATGTTTTAAAATATACTTGGAATAATGATGCACAGGGCATTTTGTGCCAGCTATTGAATTGGTGCAACCCGATGTATGTTTACTTAGAAGTAAGTCCCAGTGTGGTCAGTAGGATTCAGGGCAATGAATTCCTGCAGACGGTGGAAGTGTGTGGTCTTTTCCTTCCTCTTTTTAGTCTGGCATGCTAAAAGCCAGTGATCCGATGGATTTACGCACCCATGGCTATAACCCGATAGAAGTTATCAAGACTTAACTCCGCATTAACTTGCTTAAGTCTGTGTTTCAAAGATGCAACCCCACTCACGCTTACCTCGGAATGAGCCCTATGAGTCTTACTTCCAAATCCACATGCAGAAGGATTGCACTATGACTCGTGAGTAAGCCTCGCCGAACTTAGTGGGGGCTTCCTCGGCTCAAAATGCCTCGGCTCGCGCTGCAAAAAGCTACACAAAATCGAGCCGCCTGCAAGTGTCTGGCGTGCAAGCCAAGTCGCAGCTGCAGAGGAATTTCCTTTCCGGTGCACGGTACAGACAAACACGAGCTATTCAGCTCCGGAAAGCTGTGCAACCGAAGCGCGTCGACACTGCGCGGAACGAGGCAAGGTCAAGTCACTCCGCTTCCCTCCCCGCGCGCTCTCCCAATACCTCCTGATAAGAAGAGGAGATCTCGGCTCTGATCATGGCCTTGGCGGAGAAAGACCGGGTCGAGCAGCATCAACCACTACCCAAGTAGCTGCTGCGAGGCTACCGAGGAAACAGCTGCTCGACCGAAGCGCCAGCGGCGCCGCAAAGGCATCCGCTGCGCGGAGGCTTCGTCAAGTGCATGAACATCCTCTGGCCGGGAGGCGCATGCAGCGCGCGCGCCCGCGCGGCACTCGCCAGACACCTTTAACTGGATCTGAGTCGCGCAGGCCGGCGAGGCAGCAAGGCCGGGGAAAATGGGATGCTGGGAAATGTAGTTCATTGTCAGACACACGTGTGTTCAGCTTCTAGAAATAACGGCCCTTGTGGCGCTCCGAATTTTTTGGTCTACAGTGCCCATCGTCCATCACCATAGCCTTCTCCTGCTAGGACTGAATGGACTTGCACTCCAACCACAACTGCTGAACCTTTCATGTATTTAGTTATTGCGTTTTTCTACCACTAACAGCCAAAGTTGCAATTCATAAAATCATAGACTTACAGAATAGTAGAATTGGAAGGTGCCAGAAGGCCATTGGGTGCAACCCCCTGCTGTTGCAGGACACTAAGTTACACCATCTCATTTAGATAACTGTTCAAACACTTTTTGAATGACTCCAGCGAGGGAGAGCCCACAACTTCCCCAGGGAATAGGTTATCTCATTGTACTGCTCTCACAGTGAGGAAATTCTTCCTGGTGTTCATTCTAAATCTGGTTTTATTTAAATCCGTTATTCTGTGTCCTGCACTCTGGAATGAACGAGAAGAGATCTTGGCCATCCATTTTGTGACAGCTTTTCAGGTACCTTAGCGTGCTCTCATATCTTTGCTCAGTCTCGAGGCTAAACATGCCCAGTTCTTCCAATTTTTCCTCACAGGGCTATGCCTCCAGTCCCTGGATCATCCTTGGTGCCCTCCTCTGTACACTTTCTAGCTTTTCTGCATCTTAGGTGCCCAGAAATAGACATAGTACTCCATGTGAGGTCTGACTAGTACTGAGTGCAGAACTAGTACTTCACACATTTTGGAAGTAGATGCTTCTGTTAATGCAGCCCAAAATAGCATTTGTCTTTTTTTGAAGCTGCATCACATTGTTGGCTCATATTTAGCTTGTGCTCTACAACAACCCCAAGATCCTTCTCATTTGCAGTATTTGTTGAGCCAAGTGCTCCCCATCTTGTAGTGGTGCATTTGGTTTCTTGTTCCTAAGTGGAGGATTTGGCATTTGTCCTTACTAAATTTCATTCTGTTGCTCTCTGCCCAGGGATCTTACCTACTAAGATCACCTGTGTCTTATTTCTGTCTTTTAGGGTATTTGTTGTTCCACTCAGATGTGTGTCATCTGCAAATTTAATTATTTTTCCTTGTGCTTCATCAAAATCATTAATAAAAATGTTGAAGAGTACGGGTCCCAAGATGGAACCCTGTGGCACCCCACTTGTAACCTCTCCCCGGTTTGAGAATGTGCCATTGATGAGCACTCTTCGAATCCGATTCTGCAGCTGACTGGGGATCCACCCAACGGTTACTCTATCTAGCCTGCCATTTGCTAGTTTGGTAATCAGGATGTTGTGGGGCACTTCGTGGAAGGCTTTGCAGAAGTCTAGAGAGATTATGTCCACAGCATTCCCACAGTCCATTTGGGAGGTTACCCAGTCAAAAAATGAAATTAGATTTGTCTGGCAGGATTTGTTCTTAAGAAATCCACGCTGGCTTCTAGTGATGATTGCATTGTCTTCAAGGTGTTTGCTGACTGTTTTGTAATTTGTTCCAGTTTTTTTCTAGGGATTGATGTCAGACTGACTGGTCTACAGTTCCTAGGTTCATCTTTTTTTCCTTTCTTGTAGGCAGGGGCAACTTTAGCCCTTGCTATTTGCTATTATTCAGCATAGGAGTATAGCAACCGTACAGAATAAAATGGAATATATAAAAGCAAAGTTAAAAAAATAAGCTGTTAAAATGCTGGGAAAATTAAAAGTTCTTTGCCCAGCAATGAAAAGAATGCAGGTGCCAGTCGGACCTCTTTGGGGACTGTATTCAACAACCAGGGTGCCACAACTGAAAAGGTTCTCCACTGTCATGGACCAGGGTGTGGGCAGCTGGGTCTCAGATCAGGGCACCAGGACCCAGGCAACCAGTACATTATGAAGGTCTATTCCACATCATAACCAAGCAGTCCAGGGGTTGAGGCTGGTAACAGTGCAAATAGCAAAGAGTAGTCAAAGCCGATCAGGAGTTGAAAGCCTAGCTGAGGAGAAGCAGGTACCTGGGATTGAAGCAGGAATTGGAACAGGTGAAGATCAGGAAGCTGGGCAGATCCAGGAGCAGAGGCAGGAGCAAGGTGACAGGCAGAGTCTCTAGAAACAAGTTCTAGAAGGCACAAAGAGCTCCAACTAAGTCAAAAACCTTCATTGCTGAGACAACATCTGGAAGGAAGAGGCAGTTCTTATATAGCTCTTCCCTCAGGACTCCCAGGTGGTGCTCACAACAGCCCAGGTGATTGTGGGCTGTTATGCAGTTGACTGTGGGCTCAGTCCTGCAACCACCAGGGCCGCTATTCTGGTCTCTGGCCAGAAGATGGAGCCCTGACACTGCCTCAGAACCTCACATCCTCCTGGCAGCAACCTGCCTCACCTCCTTTGAAAAGGAATCCCAAAGAGGGAACCCCAAAGATGACCACAAGTCCCAGGTAGGCACATATGGTCCCAAGCTGTTTCAGGCTTTGAATGTTAGTACTAGCACTTTGAATCTGGCCTGGAGCTGGAAGAGGACTGGCATAATGTGTTTTCGTGGGCCAGCCCCTATTAACAATCATGCTGCCCTGCTTTGGATCAGTTGAAGTTTCTGGACCATTTTCAGAGGCAGCCCCGCAAATGAAAGGTTACCAGAGCATGGATTACTGTAGCTATGCTCTCTTTGTCCAATGGGGTTGTAGTTGGTATATCAGCTTAAAATGATAAAAGTGCTCCATAGCACCAAATCCACTTGTGTCTCAAGTGACAATTCTGGATCCAGGATCACTCCCAAACCATGAACCTTGTCCTTAGGGGGGTGCGCAACCCATCCAAAACAGATGAACCACCCACTAACAGCACCAGTATCTTGTCTGATTGGGTCTATTTGCTGGCTCTCATCCAACCCATTACCGTGCTCAGACACTGATTCGAAGTGGCCACTGCCACACCTGGGTTTGATGAAAAAGAGAGGTAGAGCTGAGTGTCCTCTGCACATTGGTGGTACCTCAGCCCATTCCTTCCCAAGCAGTTAAACAGCATAAAGGATAAAGTAGAATCCTTGTCATGACTGCCATGCATGGAGCAATAATTCCCCAGCACGACCTCCTGAAATTGACCCATCAAGTAGGAGCTCCAGTGCAGTGCATCCTCGTACTCCTAGCACAGCTAGTCTATCCAGAAGCATACCGTGATCAATGGTATCAAAAGTCACTGAGAGTTCCAGGAGAATCAACAGTTAGCGTGGTTCTCCCCATGTTAGACAGAAGTTGTAGAACTGCCCTTGCAGCAAGAGTTAAGGGAATATTCCTAGAGGGCAGGGAGAGGAGGAGCAAGGCTCCCCTGTCCTACGAGGAATCCTGGCACTGCTTCAGGCTCCTTTTCTCGCAAGCCAGCATAAATTACTCAGTCTCATGCAGCCACCTAATGGCGCCATCCAGTGTCCCATGTCCTTGCTGTGTGGAAGCCTCTTAACACAAAGGCTTCTATCCAGACTGTATGGCAATAGTATTTTACCTAGACAGCTGATGGGCACATTTTCAGTCTTGAGGAAGGCAAGGCACAGTTCTTCTATGAAGGCTGAAAGCAGGGGCAGGGGCTCGTCTTTCAGAGACCCAGCTCCAAGACTGAAGGTCCTCACAGCTGGGACTCCAAACATGATGTCAAGAGGCCATAGCAAACCCTAAGTGTTTTCAGAGGCTAGGAAAAATACCAAAGCAATCTTTGTCCCTGTGCTCCTTCCACCTCCATTAGATGCCCAAAATCCTTTACATTCAGAGAAAGACAAGTACTGTATTGTATCATCAGTTAACAAATGTTGATAAAAAAAAGGCAAAACATTATTCCAATTCGAGCCTCTGGTAATAGAACTATGAATTCTATTGTCAGCAACCTCTCCCTGGAAAGCCCTAAAACTGGAGTTTATCAAAACTGTACCAGTTTGTCCAGGATGCTGCTTCTATTGTACATGAGGCACTTTTCCTAATAGGTAATAAATTTCGCTGCAAAAGGAAAAAATACAGGCTACACAGGTAAAATGATTGTTTAAAAGCATATTCGTTATACCTAAATAGTGAAATGTATTTTTAGCTGTTAAATGGGAGGATTTTTTAATATCACTATTTAAAATTTCTTCGACTGGTCATCATGCAACTAGTCCCCACGACTCATTACCATGCCTTTGATAAAAAGCTTTTCTTTTGGGTGAACGTGCAGAGAATCCGTTTCCCCCTGCCCGCCCAACCACAACCTACACTAAGGCTAAGTTAAGGCGGAACGTGAGAGCAGCAGCTCTCCTTTTGAAAACTACGCGCGGATGTTAAGGAACCGGCGAAAGGGAAGAGAAGGCACCGCCTGAAAAGAACAGGATGCGAGGGCGGCCAAGCGAGGAAGCCCGAGGGGTCATGCGAGAGCGTTTCCTTCCGAGAGACCGAGCTGCTGCACCAGCCTCGCCGCCCTCGCTCGTCCCGCCCTGAGGAGCCGGCGGCCCGCCGCGCGCCGCCCAGTGCCATGGCCGACGGCCTGGGCCTGGCGCTCGCCCTGCTGGCGCTCGCCCTCGTGGGCTCCCGGGGAGCGCGCAGCGAGCCGGAGCTGCGCTTCAAGCCCGCCCCGCGGCAGAGGCCCGTGCGCCTCTTCACCGAGTCCGAGCTGGCCAGATACGCCGGGCAGGAGGTGAGGCCGGGCAAACTTCTTCCAGAGGACGGCGGGGAAGGCCTGCCCCCTTGCGGGCCGGCTTGCTGCTGGCACCGGCCTTGCGCCGGGTGGGACGCGCAGGCTCTGCGCGAAGCAAAGCCGCGGCGGGCCGCCGCTGCACGCGTTGCTGGCAGGCCCTTCTCGCGCCGAGCTCTCGTCCTCTCGCCGGCTCAATCGGGAGGGGGGACTACGCAGAAGAAGCCGCGCCTTTGGTGGACGTCGCACCCGAACCTGTTCTGGCACTGACGCCCTCACTGGGAAGTGTGGGAGTGGAAGGGGGTGATTGCACCAACCGTGTGTTGGGAAACCATGGGTAGAATTCAGGATTAGTCGTGTAGACCCCAGGGAAAGGAATAGGACTTAAATTAGTCGCAGTTAACTTGAGCATCATTCATTCCAGTGGGTCTACTTTACACAGGGCTGACATGGGATCCTACCCTATCTATTAAATTCAGTGGCAGCGGCAGCCACAGGTTTTGAAGAGCTGTTGGCAAGACATCCTCAATGGGACCATTCTGCATCTATCCAGATCTTAATGTGTGAACAAGCAAGACCAGCTGACAGGATTCATGCTTTAGTGGCTGGAAAAGGACAGTTTCTGGTGCTGAGAGTTCTCCCCCCGCCCTCATAAAATAAAATAATCATGTGCAGTTGATTCTGGAGCAGAATGTTAAGAATGTCTCAGATCATTAAATTAATGTATACAAACACAGCTGCAAGGTTAAGTGGTTTGTTCTCCCCCATGCGATAGGCAGGCTCCTGTAACAACAAAGCAGTGTACGTATCTTCGCATTTCAGAGCGGTTGTTTCCATGCTGATCATATGCAATCATGGAAGTTGGGTGATCTGATTCAAAAACAAAGTGATTTACAGAAAAAGGAGACAGACCTCTTCTGTGGAAGCTGTGGTGCTATGGAGCTTCCTCTAATGGAGACCTGCCAAGTTCTCCATTAGAGTTCTCCCAAGTTCTGTTTAGTAAGTGGGAGCAAACCTGCTTATTACAGCAGGTCTTTAGTGATAATGGCCAGTGTTATGGTTGATAGATAGGGATGGCCTAGTTCACACATGATGTGGGTTTTTGAAGTCTGGCTTGTGTCTTCAGAACCAAGTGAGCCGTGGTGGTGGTGGTGGTTTTAGCCAGCAACAAACTATAAATCAAAACCAGGATTTGGTGATGACTAATGAAATCTGGCTGGCTTAAACTATGGCTTGTATTGAAGTTTGAGCCCAGAACTGTAGCTGTTTCATGGCTTCTCTGTGCTGCTGTCCATCCTGAAGCAGAGGTCAAAGCAACCTAAAGAGAAAACTACTGACAAAATGGATGGGGGAGAAACAAATCAGGAATAGGGAAAACAAGTTGTCATTTGTTTGCTCATCTACAAGGCGATTTATGGCTTAAGCAACAAACCTTGATAAAATAAACCATGCCTTAGTTTTACATGCTAATGCATCTGCTATCTCTCTTTCAGTCTATTTTAAACCACTTTGGGGTTGCTTAGAAAAAAAGCTGATTGAAAGCTTAAAAATATATTGATGACAGAAATGTGTAAAAATAGTTAATATATATTGTCTCTAAAAAGCATACTTTGTGAAAAATGTCTTTACAGGAAGATCAGCCTATTTATATAGCTGTGAAAGGTGTGGTGTTTGATGTCACTTCTGGAAAAGGTGAGTTAACTAAGTTAAACAAGCCATGTTCCTTCAAACCCAACTTCAGTCTCCAGTTTGGCCCAAGTTCAGAGTGAGAAATTCACAATGCTGAAGTACTGGCTCTATGGCCACCTTAAGGAGGTAGAACAGATGTGCAAAGTTATGCTCAGAAGGGAGTTCCTATCCTTTATTGATGCTGTCATAGTTTTTTAATTGCATCACCATAAACTTTTTTTTTAATAGCTGGAGAGGGGAACTGAGTCAGTGTGGATCCTTAGTGTGGCTGGAGCAACTTGGCTTTTTTGTCTTCTTCACATACATTTTCCCTGTGGGAGAACCCCCTTTACTTCTGGCCCATTCCCAAAGCCCCTGGGAGAGGGGCCTGGGCAGAAGGCAGGGCCTATGGAGGAAGCCAATGATTGGGGTAGATTAGGCCCTACTACCAAGGGATTCTCCTGTAGTGTCTTAGAGGGAAGACGAGACATCTGGGGTTACTGTTTTCCAACACTATCTTTGCAACAGCCTTGTGGAGTGAGTAAACTGGGTGATAGCAACTGTCCCAAAACTATCTAGTGAGCTTCGCAGGTTGGACAGTATTTGTACCTTGCTCCTAATCATACCAACCAGTGTGGTCACTGTGCCAGGAAAGGATAGATGAAACAAACCTCCAGATGTTGTCTGAGCCCCAACATGGATATGCAAACATTAAATTTCTAGGCTTGTGAGGGATGAAATGATGCAAGAAAATGTTCTCATCGCTTTTAAAATTTTCTGATTTATATACCATTGTCCTCAAGTGAAGTGTGTCAGCCTTGAAATACGCCAGACTTTTTTTTGTCAAAAATTACAAGCTCTATGAGAGTTTTAAGTGTGCTGACTTAGGCTTCATTTTATTCCTGTATTGTTTTCTTCTCTGTTGGGCAGAATTTTATGGGAAAGGAGCACCATATAATGCATTAGTTGGCAAGGATTCGACCCGAGGGATTGCAAAGATGTCGCTTGATCCAGAGGATCTCACTCATGACACAGTAAGCAAGAAAGAGAGCTCTGTGCTGTGGGTTGTGTGCTGAGGCCCCAGTTTTTACTTGTATGTGGGGCTCATGGGGCTGGAGGTGTTTCCTGCCCCAAGTGCATGCAGGATCATGGTGGTGGATGGGGGAGGGACTCCCAAAGTGTAGCTGCCAAATGAGAACGACTCTTTGGTCCCTGGAACAGGCATCTGCAGTCTGCCCACCGATGCCTGCCTACCTTCCCCGCTCCCTCTCTTGTGTGTGTGTGTGTGTGTGTGTGTGTGTGTGCGCGCGCGCGCGTGTGTGCGCATGTGCGTGCGTGCACGTGTGTGTTTAAACGCACGCACATGCTTGTGCACAGAACTGGAGTCATGTAACCAGTGCTGTAGAGGAGCCAGGGGTCACAGGGTTGAAGTGCCAGGAATTTTTGATTGGGAGGGTTATGTCACCTCCCTCTGGCTTCTCTGTTCTCTCTGAGCTTTGATGTGAACCTTAAAGTAGCTGGAATGGAGATGGATTTTTCCAACAGTAATATCCTGTTAGGAGCTGCCCCTATTGTAATGCAAAGCATTTTGGGATGGCTTGGGCTTGGTCTCAAGTGGAAATTAGGCCAGCTTGCATGATTGAAGCAAGCCAGAGTGTGCCTCCAGTCAGATTTCACTAATGACTAAGCTTGCCCTGCATCTTAAAACTAGGTGATAGGCTGGTTTATGGGGTAGAGTAGCAACCTTCAAATGGCCCAACAACTAAGCTTGGTTTATTTGTGGGTGGTTTCCTTCTCAAACAAGCATGCTGGCTAGCATACAGCCAGCTTGTTAACCCCACCGTAGTTATGCAAACTTAATCACTCACTTTACAAAACGGAAATCATTCTACTTTTCCTCTTTTTCCTTGCCTGTCCTTCTCCCTCTACACAATTGTGTTCCTTGAGGCGGGACTAACAGAAGAAGAGCTGCAGTCTCTGGACGAAACCTTCAATAATGTCTACAAAGCCAAATATCCTATTGTTGGCTACACTGCCCAAAGAATTCTCAATGAAGATGGCAGCCCCAATCCAAACTTCAAACCAGAAGATCAGCCACATTTCACCATTAAGGATGAGTTCTGATCGTGGAGTTTGCACTCCAAGACATCAGGGATACCAATTGAAGAGAGACAAAAACTCTTGCATTTCTGACAACAGGAAGAATGCCCAAAAACTGATACTGGGATATTCCTATTATAGTGTCCGGTTTTAACACCTTTCTTTGAGGGCAATGCTAGATACCAAATGTTACCTATTCAGTGACCAGCAACATTATGGTCCATTAGTCAGATGAGACTGTTTTTTCCCAGTAAAATATTCTATTTTCTGTCTGCCTCTTGATTGCAAGTGTTTTAAGGAAAGAACAGTATTATGTAGGGATTTTCAGTTTGACTCTTTTCTGTTTCATCCTGGCATAGGGCTTTTGTGAATCCCATATGCAGAGCATGACTCATATACACATGTAAAAGTGTATTGTCTGTGGACACATAGTATACACATGGAAACGTCCTGGTTAACATCATCCATTAGCCATAATGAGTTGGACCTGCAAGAAAATTGCAATGCAGAATGCTCTTGTTCAGGGTGCCAGCCAGCCACCCTTGCCCTCTACCAGAGCACTCCATTCCATTTCATTCCCTCCTCTCCTCTCCTCAACTGTCTGTGTACCCACCTCACATTCCATGCCTGGTGAGCATGCTCAGACCTTATTAAGCTGTTTTCGGGTTTGTTTTAGGCCCTTGGATTTTCCCCCTAAGGTTGTTTTCCTTGCCTCTTTGAGCCTTCGGACTCTCCCCAGCATACTTTTCTCTTGTGCAAAGTTTCTGCTTGTGGGTGCATTGTACCACATGTAAAAATCTGCTCAGAGGGCCAGTTTTAACTGGGGAGTTCTTAGTGGCTGTAGTCAGGTGGTGAAAGGAGCAACCAGCAAAAGGGGTGGGACCAGAGCTAAAGGGCAGGGAATCCTAACCATATTTTAACTTTATTTTAACAAAACTCTTGCTGCCAGCAACTTGACCCTTAGGGGAGGCATTTCAGCCTTTAGAATAGTGGGGGGGGGAGGCTGCATAAAAACCAGGAAACCACTAAAGAGTTGGTTGGAGGAAAGGGGTGAGGTCTGGGGAAGGGGGCATGGTCTCCCGGGAATGCCAGAGAGCCCAGCTGGGCCCCTTGGTAGGCAGGATATGGCCCACAGGCCATACTGGGAAGCTGGCTAGTGCCAGCCTTTAGCCATAACAAGCGAGACCTGCAACAAAAGTTCCCGTTCAAGGTGCCAGCCAAGAATACCTGGAAGTGGACAGCCAGTGTGGTGTAGTGGTTAGAGTGTTGGACTGAGACTTAGGAAATTGGGTTCAAAGTCCCCACTCAGCCATGAAGCTCACTAGGTCAGTCACCAACTCTCAGCCTAACCTACCTCTCAGGGTTGTTGAGAGGATACAGTGGAGAGGAGAAGGACCATGTCAACTGCCTTAGGTTCCTTGTAAGAGGAAACCAAGTAGGGAATACATGAAATAAAAGTTACAATAAATCATAAAAGTAAAACTCCATGGATATAGTCCTCTGGCAGCATCTACCAGCATACCAATTAAGGATGGAGTGAAGAGATCAGTCTGTTTCGGGCTTCTATTAGTGACACAGTGCTGGACTAGATCACCTCTGATTGGATCATCACTGAGGCCACATTCTTCTGATGGGTGAGTTCCAGGCAAAATTGGTGTTGCCAAAGTCAGAAGGGAGGGGGGCAGAAACGCCAGTGCAATTTAGGTGAAAGCCTCCAAGGAGGCATTTCAGCCTTTTCAATGGGGGGGGGGTTGCTTAAGTGGGGATATTATCAAACAGTTGGTGGCCAGTGCCATGATTAGCCACTGTGGGACTTAGCATTTCAGAGCTAGATGGATTCAGGTTTAGAATGGGGTCGCTGGGCATCACGAGTACACTCCTGTCCTTCTTTGGACGTTGTCTGTCCTTAACTCTCTTGATAGCTCCCTCCCAATTTTAATCCCAATCTTGTTAATTAACCTTCCACAGTATTGTGCCCAAGCTGTGAAGTTCCTTCATTGGACTATGTGGTCCTGAGCATGCTGATTATTAAACAGGCTATGACTCTGGGTTAACAATAGACAAAATAAATATTTGTACAATAAGTGTATTGTTTCAAGAAGTTCAGTAACATAGCCTCTGGCTATTGGGTGGCATACAAATATGATACGTAAATTTCCCTGGTAAACAAAGTAATGTATAATAGTAACTTCCAACTGAGGTACCTCACTCTTTCCCTTCATAATCCTCACACACAGATCCTCCTTTCTCTCCTGCACTCAGATTTCTGACAACTTCACCCTTGTAATATTTGACAATATTGAGTTCTGGCTCCCCCAGACGCTAATATGTCCTCCAAATATTTGACTTCCT